CAAGGACTGTGTTCTTTGTGTGGCAGTGTACTTCCATTGCCTAGCACACAGACAGTTGCTAAAATTTAAAAAAAAAAAAATTTCTTTTTTCTCATCTGTCCTTACCTACCACTCCGAGCTCAGAACTTCACTTTAAAACGTATGGCAAGCATTCTTCATTGGGGTTTCATTAATGAACTTGGGAAAGAAGGAAGATGAGGAGCATCTGAAAAGGTGTATGCACATGTTTTTTAAATATGTATTTTTTTAGTTGTAGGTGGACACAATCCCTTTATTTTATTTTTATGTGGTGCTGAGGATCGAATCCAGCGTCTCTCGTGTGCCAGGTGAGTGCACTACCACTAAGCCCCAGCCCCAGCCACAGCCCTGTGTGTACATTTTTCTTGGGGAAAAATATGGTAGCTTTCATAAGCTTCTCAAAATAACTAAGGCTCAAAATGTCAACAATTGCTTTCATCATATTGCTTTATCTTACTGCAGGGTGGAAACGAAAAGGAATGATAATTTAATTTCACTTTCCTACTAGAGAAGATAGAAACAGAGGTTTCAAGATTTCCCTAAAGTAACAGGGTTTATTCCCAAGATGAAAACTCGGGTCATGTGACTGCCGTATTTGTCTGGAAGGTAGACAAGTAGGGAGCTGTCTTTTTTTTTCTTTTCTTTAATCAAGTTTATTGAGGGATCTTTTACATTCAGTAAAATGCATCCATTTTAAGTGGGTCGTCTGATTGACACATGGTGCCTCCTGGCAGCCACCAATCAATACTAACATTACATCGCTGTGAAGTTTCAGGAGGTGGTTCTAGGGAACATAATTTCCTTCTAGGGCCACCACCCTTCAATTTTTTCCGTGCACCATGGAGGGCTGTTTTAAGGAGTCTCAGAGATTGAGGGGCTGACCAAGTCATAGCCATATAGCTCGACACCGAAAGCTTTCAGTGGTTCTTCCCACTAATCAAAACAGAAGTCTTACCTAGAAGTTCTGAAGAATAGATCTAAAAATGATGTATGAACGCTTAGATTACAATAACAGATTGCCTGCAGGATTGGAAATACTCCTTTGAATTTACTTTGTACCTCCATTGTGAGATATCTAAATTTTACCCACACTCCCAAACCTTATGCATAACAGAGGTCAAGAATAGGAACTCACTCTGTGAGGGAGAAGGGGAACAATAATAGGTCCTCGCTATTACCATGAGTCACAGAATTCTAGACCCTTAATTTTCACTAACAGTCTCTTATTTATGAGTAGTTTTGACTGACAAAATTATATTAAGGTAGACCCTTGACTCAGTCACATTAAAAAGTCTATGGAAGTTTTCTTTCTAGTAATGTTCAGGGGAAAAAAAACAAGCATGTAAATTATTCTAAGGGATTATCTTACTGTATTAATAAAATAATACATTGCAAAGGTTCTAAATTCATTATAAAATTTGGAACTGGAAGGAATCTTACAAATCATCCAATTTCTTCATTTTTACTAATAAAAAAACCCTGAGATATATATTTCTCTTCAGGTTACAAAACTCACTATTGCTCTAACTGCAACTATAATTTAGGTAGTCTGAATGCCAGTCATTCAAAATAAAGCAAGTGGCTTGATAAAATATATTTGAAAACAGATAAAAAGTTAATAGCAACATACACTGATTTTTATACTTATGAATCAGTTTCATGACACAAATTAATTCATAAATCTATGGCTCTATCTTTTAAATACTTACCAAGTTCCCTGGGAAGAATTATAAACTTAATAAAAACATCTAGACTTGAAAATCTTTTCAGGGCCATATTTCAAAGAAAGAGACCAGCTATTTGGAGGCAGTCCCTAACCCATCTATAATTTGTCCCAACCTGTGGCTCAGGTACAACGCAGAGTTGGAACCAAGGAGTTACTTTGAGTCATTGCAGAAAGATGTGTGACAAAGCTCCAGGATGTGGGCCTCATCCCGTTCCTTTAGGTCAACAAGATCAGATCAGAAATGCCTGTGTGTCACTGTGAGCCCCTTGCCACCCAGCTCCTTCTATCTGCTTAGCTTCCAGAGCCAGAGAAAGGTTCTAGGCTGCTTGTTCATTTACCGCCCATTCAAGGAGTAAATGGCCTGATTCTCAAGTTTCAATTCTCTAAGGTTATTTCACAGTTGGACTTATTCAATGTTTTTATTCATATGGGATAAGATAATCTTTATAACTTTTTAAGTCTAGCAATATTTAAGGCTATGTTTGGTATACATTTGGCAATGAAAACCTCCAAAGAATGGGGACTATTTTCTTTTTATTGTGTTTTTATAACTGATATAAAATTGTGTCTGCATATAGAAATAATCAATGTTCTCAAAGTAAGTTTAAATGTTTATATAAAACAGATTTTACTAGCCAGAAGCCAACAAAAGTCTTCAAGTTGCTGAAGGTAAACTACAATTCAAAGGAATGGTATCATTAAAATACAGTAAATTCTCAGTTATCCAAAGAATCAGAGAAGAGAAGTCTGTTTACTGGGATTGAGTCTGTTTCTACCTCACAGATAAGTGTGTCACCAATTTTCTTGAAATTAAATATTTTTTATTTACTTAGCACTAAAGCAAAATACTTTAAAAAAGTAATTCTGGAAGTTCTTCAAGATCAATACACATTAACATCAGTACCCTGCAGTTGCTTCCACAAATATTTTTTACGTCCCCATTCTGAGTATTTGTGCAATGCTGATAAGATTTCTGACTGAGATTGCTTTGTTAGTCAGCTTTCCAAAACACAGGCAGTGCTCCTCAAAAATATTTAAAAAGTGACCTTGAGGATGACGTAGGAAATTTAAATGTTTTTGAAAGTTTTCGGCTCTTAACCACAAAGCTCCCTGATCCTTTCCCTGCTTTATGGGGTTGAAGAATTTAGTGGATTACATCAAGACGAAGTTATTGTTTTCAAAATCACATGGGATATTTTGAAATTGAAAGTATAAATGGTACAACTTCACATATTTTATCACTAGTTTCAATTTACTACATTGATTAATATTATAAATTTTAAAATAATGGAATACATACACCAAAGACCTGCGTCTTAGGCTATAGTAGTCTTCCATATAGAAATGGACAAATTTCTAAAACACTGTCAATTAATACTTCTTCTAACACTGAAAATATATTACTCCAAAACATAAAAGATTAAATGAAAACTAAGAAATTCAATCCCTTAGGTTTGGACTGAAATTTTTAGTAGCCATGCTGGTGACCACATACAAATTTATACAAATTTTACCCAAACTTAGAAAGAACAGAAGACACACTGGGGTTACTTCAGGATGCTTTCTCATCTGCATGCTGGAGAATCATAGGCAATCCCTTAACTTGAGGAAGAGGGGAAATAACACCACCACTAATGTGAGATGATTGTCTTACCTTTTAATAAAGCAGTTACAATGATGTTTGAAGCAAAAATTTAACTACACATTGTCCTTCCCATAATCATCATGTGGGAAAATTCAATTAAAAACTTGAAATATTTTGAGTCCTTAGAAGACATCTTGGCAGCCTTTTCCTTTCCTGGCTGCTCCAGACCTGACATATTCCTGGCTTCTTCTTGAATATTAATGTGTGGTTGCTGGCAGCAGCTTCATGCTTATATAACCACACCTGGTCTAAGTAGCTTAGCAGACCAAGTTGAGTTATAAGTCCTTTGAGGAAAGTGGACGTGCTCTTTGTGCTTGGCTCAGCTCAAAATTACATGTGTGTGGTGTTTCATAAATATTAAATGATGGTGATGATGGTGAGCACCCAGGCCCAATGCCAATCTCTCTCAATTTCTCTGGGGATTTCTAGTAGGCCAGTTACATCATTGCAACAGTTACAACTTTCTTCTGAATGAGTCAAAAGAGGAAAGAAGAATTTATTTTCTGACTCAGGAGGACCCTGCGAAGAAGCCTGGGATAGAGGGAATGCACTAAAAAACAGAGCAGCAGAAGGGATGGGAACCCATTCAACAGCAGCCAGGGGAGCTGAGCACTTGCTAATGCAGGCTCTCTTGCTGAGCAGACTCACCAGGGGATCCTGGATTCTGCATTCTCCACTCTAATAGCCTGTATCAAAGTTATAAAACCAAACTAAGGGTCATGCTCAAGAAAGGCACAATTATCTCACCTCCTGGGTGGCAGTTTGTCAGCATCCTATCTTCCTTCTCCTGGACGTAGGCAACACTGACTTTCCTGGTTGGCCTGTTTTGGCTGAGAAAGATTTGAAAACTACAGGAGACAGCATACTACTAGTAGCAGTTAGGGCTGTCAATCTTAGCTGCTCCTCAGAATCCCCAGGGGAGCTTTCAGAATATCCATCTGCACGCCCCACTTCTAAAGAGACTACTTTAAGGTATTTGGAGTGGGGCTCAGGCATTAGTATTCCTAAAGACCTCTCTTGATGAATCTAAATTTCAGCCAGGGCTGAGAACCACTGCAACATTTGTTCTCTATATTGCTTCATATTCCATTTAGCTAATTACTATTTGTTTTCTTTGTTAGTTTTTTCCCCCTGCCTACAGTTTTAAGATAAGCAAAAGAATTTTCCTTGCTCTAAGGTAAGGCAAGACATGACAAGCACTGTCTAAGATCAACCAGGCACGCCTAACTTTGCATGATGTACATTTAAGAGTGATCATTTTGATTCATTAAGGCAACTGAAGACATTTTTGAACCATGGGCATATCCTTTTATTCCTCAATGCCCACGACTTTTTAAAAAAAAATATATTAAAATAACCCTAAATTGCTCTGTTTCTTTTACTAGAAAATAGAACTAAAGAATTCTAGAATTTTAGCATCATGTAAAAAAAAAATCTACCTTACATAAAATCCCTTAATTTCACATTTCTGAACCTGTTTCTATACAATTAATAGGGTTCCTGGAAAGTACCTTTTATTTTTGCACATAATGAAAAGACCAGATGTGAAATTATGAGAAAAACAGATTTTAAACTTCTCTCCTTCCATTTTTAAAAGAAAATATACCTCTGGAGTGCTCTGTTAATTTATTTCAGGATTAAAAAGAATTTCATTATTAACAACAGTCACAACAAGGACAAAGTTCCAAATGGCTGGAATTCATTCGCCCAATAAGCAACCACGCCTTAAATTCTACTCCACTAGAACTCTCCCCACTACCTCCCCACTACGTACATACATCTATGATCACCTGCTATCTCCCGGGCTGATATACAAACCACTGAGCAGTTTTCATAAAAAATCTGTTTTAATTAGGCAGCTAAGGATAGCCCCTTATCAGAAATGTGCAGGGCTCCTGAGAGGACTCGACCAGAAGTGACAGCTGTTGGGCAGGGTCATAGCAAGCGTGGACAGAGTGGCAGGACCTTCAGCAGTCCTGTCCTTCAGGAAGCCTCCTGGCTTCTCTGCCCACTTCAGGAATACATGGTCAGCTGCAGCCATTCTTGGATGGACACCTGAATCAGGCCATCTGCATCTCTGTCCAGGGACTTGAAGGCACGGAACATGGCGTCCAGGCGGACCAGGCAGCTGATGAAGTCGTTGAAGTCCATGCCCCGGTCCTCGTCGACGTAACGGCGGAGGATCATCTGGTAAAGCTGTTCGTTCAGCTGGAAGCCCGCTGCCTGCAGAGCTTCCCGCAGCTGGGAGCTCCCCAGAGACCCGGAACCGTCCCTGACGTACTGCAGGTAGACGCACTGCCACTTCTTGATGTTGTTCCACAGATACTTGAACTCCTCGAAGCCCAGCTTCCCCGTGGTGTCGCTGTCCATGACAGACACGATGCTGCGGCAGGTGTCCAGGCTAAATCTGGCGGTGTTCAGATACTTGTGCTTAGCCAGGACTTTGTTGAGAATGTTCATCAGGTCAGTGGCACCCACCTCCATGTCGGGTCCAGCCAGCTGCGCAAACTGGTGCCGAAAACGCCTCACCTCCTCGCTCTCCGAGGCTTCCACGGTGGTGAAGTGCTGCTGGGTGGGCGGCGGCGGCTCCGGGGTATACTGAGCGGCAGCAGCCTCGCTGATCAGGTTCACAAGGCCCCCCACGATCCCGCCAAGGCTTCCTCCTCCTCCTCCTCCTCTTCTCTGGACACCTCCTCCAATGAGACCTCCAAGAGCTTCTCCAAGACCTCGATCGGCCCCTTCCAACAAGGCCTTTGCAAGAAACATGCTTTCAACAAGCAAAAGTGTAAAAATTTCAGCAGCTTTTATCTCCTCTACCTGGGAGACGGTATAGGGAGAGTGGGGTGGAGCGCAGGTAGCTCAGGTGTGGGAGAACTGGCTTTTCAGACCTGCTCCACAGCACCACGCCTCCCCAAGGGAAGTCTCATCTCCACCTGAAGTTGCCTGATGCCACCAGGTCCTAGCACCTGCCATACTTTTAGAGGGCCTCAAGAAAATTGTTTTTGACTCTTCCAGATAAATATTGATACATTATAGTATTGCCACACGAAAGTATTTTACAGAGAAAATGTAAAACTATACACTTCTACCTGCCTTTGCTTTCTGAGTTCTTTTTCTCAGCACCTGAAAGGCGGTATGCATTTTCCCAGGAGGAGAAGGTAAATGACTCAAAGAAATCATTTTTTGTCTAAGGGATATTTATTATAAGGGAAGAGTCAAAGAATTATTGAGCATTGAAAAGATATTTACCCAATATCCTGGCGGGGGCGGGGAAGGGGTGGGGATTGAGCAAAGATTGACTAGAGCAAAGATTTTCAAAGTCCAATGTTCTTAAGAAAAACCTGGAAGAGGGTTTTTAAAATGCCAGGTGGCCAGGTCCCACCCTCAGACATTCTGATTCTGGAGCCCTGCTGTGGGTGGGGTCCATGATTATTTGGGGATATTTAAAAAGTATATCATTTATACAGAAAAACATATAAACTGTAACTATACGGCTCAAAGAGTTTCATTGATGGTGCACATCTGCGTCACAGCACCCAGATCCAGAAATAAACCTCACCAGCACCCCAGAAAAAGCTTCTTTCTTCAAAACTTCTTTCTTCTTATTCACCTCTGCCAAGGTAACTGATATCCTGACATCTAGCACCATAAATTAATTTTTGCATCTTAATGAAATAATATAGTATATACTTTTCATCTTCAATTCACTCCTCCTCTAATTCTACCTCCTGTCTCTATGAATTTGATGACTCTGTATGGCTTATAAAAGTGGAAGTATGTAGCATTTGTGTCCTCTTTGTGACAGGTTTACTCCACTTAATGTCTCTGATGTTCACCCATGTTGTAGTATGTCTCAGGATGTCATTCCTTCCTGGGGATGAACGATATCCCATTGTGTAAACATGCCAAGCTCTGTCTTTCCATTCATCTGCTGGTGGACACGTGGGCTGCTTCCCTCTTTTGGCTATGGTGAAGAATGCAACTAAGAACATAGGTGTACAAACACCTGATTAAGTCCCCAATGTCAATTCTTTTGGGGTATGTGCCTAGAAGTGGAGTTGCTAGAGCATGATTATTCTATTTTTATCATTCTGGGGAACTCCCATACTATTTCCCATGTTGGCTGCAACATTCTATTTCCCCACAGAGGCTTGATGTTGAACATCTTTTCTCCTGCTTACTGGACATTTATTTTATCTTCTTTGGAGAAACATCTATTCAAATCCTTCAAACATTTTTTAAAATTTTTCCTTTAAATTATTATTGTTGAATTATAAAAGTTCCTTAATATTGTGAGTACTAATTTCTCATCAAATATATGATTTATAAATATTTTCTCCCATTCTGTGGGTTACCTTTCTGCTCTGTTGTTCTTGGATGCATGAAAGTTCCAAATTTTGATGTGGCCTTTTGTTGTCTGTGCTGTTGTTCGTAATGTATCCACAAATCATCGAGAAATCCAGGGTCATGAAGCTTTTACCATCTGTTTTCATCTAAGAGATTTATGCTGTCAGTTCTTTTGATTCATTTTGGGCTAATTCGTATAACAGTGTGTTTTAGTCAGTTTGTTTTTTTGTGTTGTTGTTGCTGTGACCAAAAGACCTCACAAAAACAATGTAGAGGAGGAAAAGTTGACTTTGGCTCATGGTTTCTGAGGTCTCAGTTCTTAAATAGCTGACTCCATTGCTCTGGGCCCCAGGTGAAGGAGAACATCTGGTAGAGGGCACGGAGGAGAAGAGCAATTCTAGACATGGCAACCAGGAAGCAGAGAGCTGGCTATGATTTCTACACTATGTTGAATAGAAAAGGAGAAAGTGGATATACTAGTCTTGTTCCTTGTCTCAGAGGAAATACTTTTGATTTTTCACCGCTGAGTCTGACATTGTCTGTGGGCTTTTCATATATGGCATTTATTATGTTGAGGAACATTTTTTCTATTCCTAGTGTGTTGAGTGTTTTTATACTGAAAGTATGGGATCCTGTCAAATGCTTTTTCTGCATCAGTGAGAAGATAACGTAACAATGTGATTTCCCCCACTTCCTTCTCATAATATTACGTATTACATGGGTTGATCTTTACATACTGAACCAATCTTGCATTCTAAGAGTAAATCCTACTTAATCATGGTGTACAATTCTTTTAATATTTTACTGATTCTGTCTGCCAGAATTTTTATATCAATAGTCATATGGAACACTGGTCTATAGTTGTAGTATCTTTCTAGACCATGTTATCAGGGTAATGCTGGCGTCACAGAATGAGTGAAGGGATCTGGCCCCTAGCTTTTCTTTTGGGGGAAGTTTTTGACTACTAATTCAGTATCCTTTCTAGTTATTACAGGTCTTTTCAGAATTTTTTTTTCTTCAGGATTCGGTCATACTAGATTGTGTACTTCTAGGAATTTGTCAGTATCATCTAAGTTATCCAACTTGGTAGCATACAGTTGTTCATAGCACTTGCTTATAATCCTTTTTATTTCTATAAAAGTTGATAGTTGATGTTTCCTCTTCTATTTCTGATTTTTTGGCTTGCTTCCATACTTGGATGCTTTCTTCAACATTACATTTGTGAGATTTTATTTTCTATTTTTAATAAGCATCTTCAGAAGTCAGTCTGTAACAGGAAATCCCACGCATACTTTGAGAAACCCCACCTTTGATATTAGGTAGTCAGAGTTCTAGTCTTCCAAGTATTCAAAAATTGTATTCATGAAATCACAGACTTACAGACTAAACTATTGTAGCACTTTGGGTCTTAATTTCAAGTCTGCAAAATGATGATAATAGCATCTCCCCTGCTTACTTCAAAGTAATTCAAATGAGACTTTTACATATCTATGAATATGCCACAGTGAAACCCCAACATTCTCTATAAGTACTATGCACCAATAAAAAAATTTTTAAATAAAAAAAAGTTCAATCTGATTTATTATATCAAGTCTTAGACCCAGTGCTTAGGATACAAATGCAAATACAACAGCATTGTTGCGCTCAAGGACCACGTAGATCCACAGGGACTAGTTGTAGTTATAAGCTGATGACCATGTTCACATTTCTACTATTTATACTAATCTCCTACATTTGTATAAAATATGTTTTGGTATCTAGGTTTCATAAAATTCCTCTTAAAGACTTAAAAGTATTCCAGATGAGAAAAAAGGAAAACAGAAAAGTTAAGCAAGTATACATTTTCAAGATCATTCGTCTAATGCATTGTAAATTAATTTTTAAGCCATATTGTGCTAGAACTGAGTAATGATGAGTCCTGCTATTATTTGGGAAAGAACAGTAGCTAGGGGACATTGCTCTCTTTAGGACATGGGAGAATATCATGCCTCCTTCTGGTATAGCCTGTGGTTTAAATAAAACTCTCCAATGACTAGTTTTATTTTTCATGGGTACAATGAAATGATCTCTGTGAACACCAACAGACAAATGTCTTCCTTAACCACAAAGAAAAGTACCACAAAAAGACTGCCTGGCTTTTAGGATTCACAGAGGCCATCTGGCCTTGGACGGATTTAAATGCATGCACAGAAGCTTCTCTCAGAGGAAACTGAATGGGCTTTGTTTTGTAATATTGCAAATTAACTTGATAGCATCCACTATCATACAATGTGCTTCCTTATGCCCACCTGAAGTGGGGTTTTTTTGCTACAATTTAAATTCGGTCCCTCTTATTTATTTTCTGTGAAGAAGGAGGACATTTGGTTAACAGTTTCCATCAGCCATCAGAGAATAAAAGACAGGTATTAGATTAACAAGCTTTTTCTTCTCTGGACTATCTAATATCCTAAGGCTATTTATTAGAACATTAATAACAACCAGAGTTCCTTCTTGGAGGGAACTCTACAGTCCATCCTTGAAGAAAAAGGGTACAAGAAGAGGCCACACCTAATGGAGAATTTCACACAAATTTGTGAAGGAAGAGTTACTGAACTTTAAACAATGACGTGAATGTAATCAATGACATGATTCACAGTAGCCCAAAGTGAAGACAACCTGAGTGTCTACCAACTGGCGAATGGATAAACAAAACAGAACACATCCATATCAAGGGATACGATTCAGCAATAAATTAGAACGAATTCTTGATACATGTTACATAATGAACCTCAAACATTATGCTAAGTGAAAGAAGCAGGGGCTATAGCTCAGTGGTGGAGCTTACTTAGCATGTACAAAGCCCTGGTTCAATTCCCAGTACCATAAAAGAGAAAAATAAATCAATAGAAGGAAAAAACCAAACACAAGCACCATATATTGTAAGATCTCATTTACATGAAATAGCCAGGAAAGGAAGGCAAGATTATAGAAAGATAGATTATAGAAATTAATAAAAAGTAGATTAATGGTTGCCTACGGCTGGGAGATAAGTAGTTGACAGGAATTTACAGTTAATGCCACAAGGAGTCATACTGAGTTGATGAAAATGTTCTGACACTGATCGTTGGTGATAACTACACAACTTGGTAAACGCATTTTTTAAAAAATCATTGCATTATATACTTGAAGTAAGGAAATTCTATGGTATGTAAAATATGTTTTGAGGAAGTTTTGTTTTTAAGTCAATGCTAACCGCATACAACCCCCTTCTTGGGCTAGCAACCCTTCTGCAAATGAAGAGGATGAACAATGTGCTCCCAAGGCTCCTCTAGCTCTCAAGTTCTGAGTCTAGGTTTCCAGCGACAGCAGCGGCCTTCTCTTACATTCAGTTAAGGGTCCTTTTGGTCCCTGAGCCTTTCCAGGCTACATATCAACTTAATCATTCTGTACCCTGAGTCTGGTTCCATCAATTTTGAAGACAAGCGTATTTACCCTTATTCCCACTTTGACACACTGACTGTTTTTCCAAAGAATTCCTGATCTCAACCCATCAAGTAGGTGGCTCCTTCAAACAGTTCCAAGGAGGGAGAAAAGAACCTGGTTTAGACTAACAGAAGGACCTACGACTCTGAGTTTGGGTCAAACCTCTCGATCAAGTGGGAATTTCACCTCCCTGCAATGTGATCAAGACCAGACTCTCCTAATTTGTTGATAAGAATGTCACATTGGATGAAATCAAAAGCCTTTCTAGAATCCATATAGATAATATCTATTTTTCCCTTATCATTTTGGACTGTCACTTTGTCATCAGAGGAAATGAGATGGGTCTGACGCAACCCATTCTTCACAGAGCTCTGTTCTTTACTTCCTTGGGGTCTTGACAGAGGCCAATCATTGATCATCTGCTTTAGTTCAAAAGTCAAGATTGAGTTTTTTTTGCAGACTCCTTCACTTCCCCTGTTCATCTCCCTGCTATACAGGCATTGAAAAGACAAAAGTGAAGGACACGATTCTCAGGCCTAAACAGATATTTCTAGTACAACGGCCTTCAGACAGAGAAAATAGAGTGATGGGCTGATGGGAGTCAAGTCAACCTGAGAACTGAAGAGAAAGGGGCTCAGATATATAGAATGACTTGGCTTTCAGGATGACCGAATAGAAAAGTTCACCTGTTCCACCCAGAAAATCATAGCCTTTACTAAAACAAATTATATAATATGAATTAGAGTGGGTTTCACAATGCAAGTTCCGGCAAACTGAGATTGGAATCAAGATGCATCCTCATGTGAACTATCTAATACTGTATTACTTATCAAATCTGAACTGCAAATTTAAATGATAGAGATTTTACAGTTTATTTTCAATCACTAAAGCCGCCTAGGTATCCTGCCCCAACTTTCAGCATGAGAAAAAAAACCTGTAGGAGACAACACCCTCCCTCCCGAACAGGAAGGGGCAGAGGGGACGCCTGTTATTACTGGCACTCCAGACTGACACTTGAACTGATACCAAGAACAGGACAGGCAGGAAGAACTTGGGATAAAGAAACATTCATTCCACCTAATGAAACAGTAACAAAAGATTTACAGAAGTTTACAATAGCTCCAAAGCCTGGGTTGCCAAAGTGCTAAAGTAGACACAAACTTTTCCTGTCTAATATTTAAGCAAAGCACACTGCAATGCCAGAAGCAGCGAGCGAGTACTAGCTAGCAGAAACAAGAAACCTCATGGCACTGGTCCAACTGTTTTTACAGAATGGCAATAATAACCGTCTACATTTTACTAGGCAACGTTCTATTATATCCTAAGAGGACTGGTAAAAACAAGGGACAGTGGCTCAGACTACAGCTGAGGAACTGAAAATCGATCTTCCTCCTTCTTTTCCTCTCATGTGTGAAGATGAAGGATATACCACTAGTTAGAGTTGTGGGAGGATATTAACAAGAGGAACACAGATTAGTCCAGATTAAGATTCCCAGTGATCTGCTTTCAATCCAATGTCAGGATCTCACAGGTTAACAGTGGTCACTGTAAGAACGGACTGGCATCCTTCAATCCATTCCTTAAACCTGCCAGCATGCTTTGTTTGCATCGGCTTAGGCAATACTCAGGGATCAGCAAATTACAGCTGTTGGCCAGATCCAGACTGGTGCCATTTTTGGAGATAAAGTTTTACTGGGGTGCAGTTATGCCCATTTGTCTGTGCACTGTTTATGGCCGCCTTCATACCTCAGTGGCAGAGATGAATATTTGCAACAGAGACTTTATGGCCTGCAGAGTCAAAAATATTTTGCTTTCAAAATACTTAGCTGACTCTGGAATATAGCTTGAAATATAGGTTGTTAGCAGGGAGCATACACGCTGTTGTGGCATGGTGTCAGGTGGAACATCAAGCTGGACACGTCCTGAGATGGAGGGTGGAAGGCGTGCTAGTAGCAAGAAGACAGACAGCATGGTGTGTTGGCAAACTCACAACACAATTACGTTCTTACTGAAATATTTGAGGGCTATCTCATAGTACACGAGATGCTGCTGTAAGGGCAGCATACGGGTCTACTCAACTGCACAGTTTAAGAAGAACAAAATGAATGACACAGACTCGTTTATAACTGTAAAAATGACTGCTTTGTAATTGCTTCTCATTTAGACTGTATTATTACTTAATCTCATTAAAAGCTTTTAAATCCCGTCGAGTGTGCTAGCAAAATATGTGGTACTTAATTTGAATTAGGAATATGAAGACACTGAGAGAAGGTGGTGATTTTAAACCATTTTTCCAGTCCTCAACTCTGGCGAATCCCTAATTAGTCTCTAATCTGGAGTGTTCAATACATATTCATGAAGATAAAGATGCTAACTTGAACCCAAAGATAAAAAGATTTGTTTTTTGTTTTGTTTGCTTTGTTTTCCAAAGAGATTGAATCTTTCTAAGGAAACTATCCCAAACTAGCAAACTCTGCTCTGCTTTGGATCATGAATGCCATATTTTTGTTGGACCTTCAAACGGTCTGTCACCAAATATTTGGGATTCTAAAGAACATGCTAGAAGGATCTAATAACATATTTTTAAGGACAAACTAAGGCAGAAACCATTATGAAGTTTTTGTAGACTAGCCAAGAACACACTGAGAAGAGTGAGGGAATGATGGAGAGAGAACCAGATCCCTTCTCCATCCCCCAAATCTGAACCACACCTGTAACAGACTTGGGAAAGACTGAGAAAGGAAAATAAAGGGGTGGGGGAGTGGAGAGGAAGGCGATAAAATGGGAAGGGGGTGAGGGAGGGGCTTTGGGTGTTTGGCACTGCAAGAAGTTACAGCTGCTGGAGAACGACAGGAACTCGGCCCTGTCTCTCCGGGACCCTAGACCTGGTGAGCACTGAATGCAGCCAGACAGGCTACTCCCACAGAAACCACCACGGAGCGCCTGAGCCTCCTTGCTCTTCCCCTCGAATGTGCCTCAGCGAGGTCCCTTTAACAGACTGAACAAAGGAGACCGAGTGGAAGCAGGCATGTGCCCAAGGCGTGGCAACATTGCATAGCTCGGCTTCTCAAAACAGAGAGAACTTCACAGGCACAGACATGCAGGTGTGCTAAACAGGGGGAGCGGGAGGGAGAAACAAGAGCCTGAGTCATTTTTCTCCCTGATCTTCCGGTAGGTTGAAGAGCATAAGAAAAGCATTTTCTAGACCAGCTTAAGGTTCATCTCTGGGGCTACATCACATCATTTAAAGAAGTGAAGAAAACTCAGTTATAAATGGTATCAGAGCCTACGGAAGCAGCCACGGAGAAGCATGGCTGACCAGTGGGCTACACTGCTCAAGGGTCTCCAAACCGCCTGGGTCATCTGACTGCTCCCGTTCAAAGTGAGCCAATGTTTTAATGCTCGCTTTGTGTCCCCTCCCCACTCCCAGATCTTCCTAAAATTAACGGTGCCTTAGAAACAGTAGGGCTGTTGGTGGGTTATCATCCATCATCAGGAGTCAGAACTAGTGTCCTAACAATTCTGTGACTGCAAACTATGACAGTTGGACATCTCGAGGACAGGGCAACCTCTACAGATACTGTGTTTAATGTTGATTTTAAATCCCAGTGAGCACAGTGTCTAAGATGTGCTGTAAACTCCTCCTCTGTCCCTGTTTAGGGTCCCTCTCATTCCCCCATCACCACCGTCCCTGTCCTTATTTGTATGTCCCTGTCATATTCCTTCCTGACACCAGATTCATACAGAGAAATGCCATTTCAAATTGCATGGTGTCTACAGCCATCATGGTAGCTGCCACATAAATCTTGGAAAAAGACAAGAAAATATACAAGGAAAAAGGTATCTCTAATTTCCCAGTTTACAAAGTTAGATCCAATGACATCCTTCTCCTTTCCCCTAAATCTTCATTACGCTTTAGAGTCACACTGTAGCATCGAAACATGGTCATTTCATGAGGAAGAACAAATTATTTGTATGCTGTGAGCAAGCAATGAAGTGAGGCCCAGGTCCTACATATAGAAGGAGGTTGCTGAAGAGTACCATGGTAAAGAATCATTCGTCTGTGAGATCACAGAATAAGTCATTAGGCACACTGGCGAACTCTAGGAAAGAAGAAAAAACCAAAAAGTCAAAGAAACAAAAATACCCTGTCCTATCTGTCATCAAGTTATAATTTATTTGCAAAGTACCTTTTTCTGGTAGTTAATACAGGGACTTCCAGTACGAGCCAAAATAGAATAAGCCCAGTTTAGCCTCTGTCTCCCAATTACAACGAGAATCACTGAACGAAAGTACAGAAAGTAACTATCTCTGCACAAGCCACCCTAGTAGCAGGACTGGTGAGGAAAGTCAAAACTTGGAGAACAATCAGTAAGGTTGTGAAACCAGGGAGATCAGAAGACAGGAGGACGTCTTTAAATTGTCAGAAGAACAGTCAAGTCGGAATTCTACCTACAACACAAATGTCCCTTAGGAACAATTGCAAAACAGTCATATACTGAGAAGGAAAAATAAAGAGCTCATACTCCTAGATATTCACCCAAATGAAATTAAATTAAAATCAACATTTATATAAAAACCTATACACGAACATTTAGATTATAGCTGTATTCATCATTACCCATGACTAGACACAAAGTAAATGTTCTGCAACAGAGGAACAGATAAACTATGGTACATCCATACAATGGAATATTACTCAGTAATAAAAGGGGAGAAACTATTGAGACATACAACACTGGCTGAATCTTAAATGCATTATGCTAAGTGAAAGGAGACAGACTCAAAAGACCATAATAGTGTATGATTCCATTTATAGGGCATCTGGAAAATGTAAAACTACAGGGAGGAGAGCTAATTAGTGATCACCAAGCATTAGAGGTAGGGCCAAAGCTTGTCTGTAAAGAGTAGATAACTACAATGGGATTATTATTTTTTGGGGGGGGCGGGGTATAACTGTTATGTATTTGTTCTAACAAATGCATAGAGGCATACCGCATAGAGGCGGGTATGCCTCTATGCATTTGTTAGAACTCAGAGAATTATAACCCAAAGAGTTCATTTTAATACTGATTTTATATGCTAGAAAACAATTAAAAAGTAGAGAGTTTAAATCTTGATATATTTTCTAGGAAATTTTTTGACAATTCAGTTGATGTACTAATTACATGTACTTAAATATTAACAAGCAGCCAAGAGTTTAACTGAAACCTTTGTTACAAAATTGAAACCTTTGTTACAAAGCATCATCCAAAAATAAAATCAATTTGATCTTCACATAGTTTTGGATAAATCCAGAAACTCTCAGAACAGAATATTATCACATGAGATTGATATGTAAATTTAGATATAAACTTTAAAATTCTTGACAATTATATAAACTTTTCCATTTCCATATTACAAATGTGGCTATATGGTCACAATATTTATTTATCACCTGGTATTTAAAATAAATAGACAATATCATAAATGTTGCACACATACATTATTATTATTATTGTTGCTAGGAAAAATTAAATCATGTAATTAAACCACAAGCTCAGCGTTAATTTTTTTTTTTTTCTTTTTTGGTACTGGGGATTGAACTCAGGGGCACAACCACTGAGCCACATCCCCAGCCCTATTTTGTGTTGTATTTAGAGACAGGGTCTCACTGAGTTGCTTAGGGCCTTGCTTTTGCTGAGGCTAGCTTTGAACTCTCCTTCCTCCTACCTCAGGCTCCCAAGCCACTGGGATTACAGGCACATGTAATCCCAGTGGCTTGTGTTCAGCTTTGACTCTTCTAACACTGGTCTAAAGTACTCTGAATACCTGCCATATTCCTCATGCTCTGTAGAAACTGGTAGAATAAAATAAAATTGAATTTTAACATACCCTGTCAAAGAGAGCAAAAAGTTGTCTCAAGACATCGGAAACAGGTAATTTTAAATACTCAGCAAATTCTTCAATTCCAATTCTTCCACCTTTTGAGGAACGTGCAATCGATGCATATTCATCCAAATGCTTACGGATGCCATCCCAATCCAATCTAAACAAAAAATATAAAGGTTACTAGTTCTTTTCAGTTGACATGGACATTTCATAGACAGTTCTAGTCATTTGTCTGAGGGAAAAATATTTTATGTATTAAATATGAATCTGATATATTTTTCAGAGGAAATCAAATGGGAGAATCAAATGAGTATTTAAAAGTATGTGTTGAAAAGAAATAAAACAGTGTGTTGGAGATTAAGAAAAATTAAAAATACAAATACATGTTGAACATTAGGCAAGCATTTAGTTTTTAAAAGCATAACTGTATAACTGAAAATACACTAAATATCTAAGAGAGAAAAAGTAAACAAGACAAACAATGGGGTGGAATAATAAATGACTTATGAGAAGAAAATCAGAAAGCAAATTTTAACCTCAACATTATTAGCACGTCAATCGTATTTTCTGAGTTTTTACGAAAGGTTATAATTCTTGTTTCAAGGAAATTCCAGGATGATAATGAAATTGTATTTCAGAAAATGTTGTGAGAAGGAGATTTGGTAGACTAGAACTTCCTCAAATGTGAGAAATTCTCAGGGTGATAAAAATACTGGAAAATATACAGAAGCTTACCTCACATCCTGCCTTTGCCTTGTAGAACTCAACAAGTAGCCTAATGCATATTTACAAATCCAATTTCAGTGACTGGCTACATTTATCAAATCGAGGGAACATTGTGAACATAATAACAAAACATTTTGTTATCTAGAAGATATTTTTCTATATCTATATACATTTTCTATATCACTGTTTAAATGTTTTATTTTAATATTGAGCTTTGAAATAGTAACAGGTTCTGCAGCTCCTTCCTAGGGAGGATGCCAAGGTCTAGTTGTACAAATTCCTAACAGGGTCGAGAACAGAATGAATTGAACATGAGAGAGTTTGAGGGTTACACCTTTCATACCAGATAGCTCCAAGGGAAGGTTCTAAATGGTTTAAATTAGATCACAAAAATACAAATTTTTTAAAGGTGCCTTTTAAAAAAGTAATAATAACAAAGACCCAGAAGAGAAGAAAAAAGTTGACCTAGGCAAGTATTGAGTGTTCACTGATGGTCAGAATTTCATAAATTACACAGGTCAATTTATGTTCCCCATGGGAAGTACTGACTACCATATGCCAGTACCATCTAATGATGCTGTCCTCCCTGTAAGCAGAGGGCAAGACTGAGCAACTGTTCTGAGCTATTTGAGTAGGGAGGCAATTTGTCTGCATTGATGCTTACTATCTTTTGGTTTCTTCCTGGGACTGGTGAACAGATCTCTGGAAGGTTTTTTTTTTTTCTTTTCTTTCTTTTTTTTTTTTTTGCATTTGGATCCAGGGCTTCATATACGCTAGGCCAACCTTCCACCACTGTGCTGCATTCCCAGTCCTTTTTAAATTTTATTTTGAGGCAGGGTCTCACTTACGTTGGCAAGGCTGGTCTCAAACTTATGATCTTCCTGCCTTTGCTTCCCAAGTAGCTGGGATTACAGGTGAAGTTAACTATTCTTGAAAAAACAAATTAGATGAACAAAATAGTCGGTAAATTTACGACCCTGGCTTTCCTGACAAACAACATCTGGTCCTAGAACTGAGCATCAATAAAGGAAAAGAAAATAAGCACATAGGATTTCAGATTCCTTTTGGATACCTTTATGAAAGTACAATAATTTTAAAATGTACTTACTTTAATTTCTGGCTAATTTTAGTAAATTCCACCAACCCAGCTTCCATGGGCAATGTTAGCTGTCCTGCTGAAATCATCAATCTGCAGTCTTCATAGGTATGATCTGTCACAGGTATCCCCAGAGCTCTAGAAGCATCAAGAATAAAACTGAAATTCAATTTTTTTAAAAAATAGGAATGATTTTTCATCAGCTCTGAACTGTTCAACAAATAATAGCAAAAGGAAAAGTATTTACTACTTTTTAGGCCAGTAGCTGTGGCTTTCTTTGCCAAAGAGACATATTTTTCTACTTCTTCAAAGACTTAACTGGGGCCCCTAAAATGTTAGGTCTGCATGCTTCTGTCCATATAGCTGATAATTTCTGTTTTGTTGACTTGAGTTTCACGGAAAGCAATCAGAAGACTTATGTCCAAGTTTTTCGGGAATCCTTTACTAACTGTGAACTTTCTGACAATTAACCCAAGCTTCATTTTTCTTGGCTGCACATAGGAACAATTACTGTCCAGGTTTAAGGACAAAATAAGAATGCTAGTAGAGACACTGCTGGAACAGATAAACGGCATCTGTGTGCACTGGACGTGGACCGTCCATCTAAACCCTTAGCATCTGTGCTTCTCCATCCTTCATAACTAGAAGTCACCTTCTTCCTGAAAGCAATCTTCTAAATTACTGAAGCAAATTGATACTAAGCTGGTATTTCTTGCAGACGTCACCTCCCTTTCCTCAAAGGAAACCAGAACTCCTCTCTACCTCACCGCTGCTCAATGAGACTGAGGCTGACGGCAGTGAGGTGGATCAGAAAAGATGTGTATTAGTGAGAACTGCAAAGCACACCGAGTACAAGAAGAAAGGCTGTCCACACATGGTAATCATTTCCTGAAGCTTCTTCTTCACTAAAATTTTATCTGCAAATATTTAATAAAAATCATAGGATTATGTCTTCAATTTTACTTGAGACTTTGTTAAATCACTGCTAGGAAGACTGACTGACTGGGTGCAATTAGAATCAAGCAGGTTTTTCTCTATACATAGTTTTTCTGGGCTGTTTTTGATTAACACATATTTTGGTGTAAGAATACTTAAAAGGGAAGAGAAAAATGTTAAAGATTTCAGGAATTATAATAATAGACAGTACAGCATAATAATGAAAAGGTGGGGTCTGGGGAACAGGAATGTGGATGTGAGTTCCAGCCCAGGCACTACCTGTGATTTGGGGTGACTGACTGTTCCTGGAGTTCACGTCCTCTCTCCCTCACGGGTGGCTGAGAGGTGACGCCAGGCAAGCGAAGGTTCCAGCACAGTGCTTGGTGACCCTCTGCCACCACCACTGCAGCCCCACCCCCACCTCACCTGCTCTGCTCCTTTCCACTTCCAGATGCTCTTATCTCCTCCTTTCCTGCCCAGGCTCACAGCAAACAAAGCCAGGAGACAGGCACTTCCCTCAAGGGGAAGGAACTTTGGGGAGGACTTTGTGCAGCTGATGGAGGTTTTTCTTACTCTTTAAATAAGGCTCTTATACCCTGCCTCCTCACAAATTAAGAAAAAGCTGCCTAAACAAATCCCTTCTCTGCTTTGGGGCACATTTTGGGGGAGCCAAAATATCTGGTATAAATTATCTAAATTCCCTGTACTTGTTTTGTAACTTTTGGACAGAAACTGGTATGAAAACATCAGAAACAAAATACAGAAAAGCAAATTTCGTAGCTGGTTTAGAAATTAGATAAAATAAGAATTCTTAAGTACACCTAGAAACAAAAAAAATTTTTGATACACATTTGTTCTATTTTGAATATAAAATTATTATTCTGCTATAAAACATTAAGATATGTATGTGTACATATGTCAGAATTACATTAAGATTATGTATGCATATATATTTTATATATATATTATATTTATATAATGTATATTATATATATATATATATCTCAATCAGAATAATCAGGCTATAAGGCCAAATTCAGCTATATTCCGAGTTCCCGTTGAATTCTTACTAAAGAGAAAAAAATACTGCAGGTCTGTTAGCTCCAAACCTCCTACTGGTAACTGAGGGAGGTGGTGCCTGGGCGGGGGTGCACATCTGGAGGGCCAAGGCTGCCTGGGTGGTGTAGCAAAACGCATGCTTTCATTACAAGACTGGGTGATTTATCTAATTAGAATACCAGCCAGCTAAAACACCCTTAAGTGCAGGAAAATATATGCCTATGTTTTGCAGTTTCTAAATCCTAAATTTATAGCCATTCCTTCACAAGAGTAACTTT